GAAACAAACTGAAACGCGGACTAAATACAGAGGACTAATGACAACAACCAGAAACAGCTGATCACACAGGGAATCCACACGCGGTTAAGGAGGGGGCACGGCAAACGGAAGGAGCGGATGATGGGGCAGGGCACATTGTTTGGATACATTTATTTTCTTACTTTACAAATTACTGTTTTGATAAATGTGCTTAGACGTGTTTAGCACAGTATATGCTCTTCTTGATTTATCCGGTTCATTTCGTGTGTAAATGCTAAAAAAAAACAAAAAAAAAACACATATTTAGGTGTAATTTTTTGGGGCCGGGAACCAATTAATTGGTTTTCCATTATTTCTTATGGGGAAAATCTGATCACAACTCAAACTTTTTAGGATTGGATCCGGAGTTCTGAACGGATTGAATTCGAGTTCTGAGGTACCACTGTATATATCTATTAATATATACGTTATATTAACAGGTAATATTATACACGGGAAGCCTATCACCATATGAAACTAAATAAAAATAAAATGAATTTAAATGAAAGCAAGTTAAAGACATGAGAGAAAAAAAATCTATTATGTAACAGGCTTGGGGAAGGTTCTTCAACAAAATAAGTAAGGCTACTCATCAGATCACAGAAGTTGTTCAAACAGCAAACCTGAAAGGGTGCAGAATGTAAATGTTAACTGACTGATTCAACCAACAATACAACTAATCTTAATTTCTCACAAGTTATATTACTGGAATCAAACAAATCAAAAATTCAGTATACATACCAGTATTGAAATCATTTTAATTCAAAGGAATGATTTTATCAAACATACAACAAAATCTGATAATCCATTGAAAATGCAAATACATTTTATATCTTTATTCTAACAACCACACTTAACAACATTGCCCATTATATTCCAACTCAAGAGATCAATAATGCGTTATTCACCATCCAGAACACCAGAGAATCTGTGTCTTTAATCAATTTTCTTTCAGCTTCCCGCTCCATCCAACTCTTGCAAGTATTTATCCTGGTCAGGCTGGGTCTGGATCCTATCCCAGGCAGCACAAGGCACAAGGCTGGGATATACCCTCGATGGCATGCCATTGCAGGGTACACTTACACTTAATCATCACATGATCGATTTAGGGGTGCCAGTCAGCCTAACTGTATTTCTTTGAACTGCAGGAGGAAACCAAAGTACCCAGTGGAAACTCACACAACACAGCAAGAACATATAAACTCCACACACACACAGTGGAAGTGGGATCTAAACCCCAAGCCTGAAGGTGTGAGGCATGAGTGCTAATCAATGAGCCACCATGCCACTCAGCTTACCACTCAACCCAAAAAATAACACAATCTGATACAAAAGGGATTTCTTTTTCACCCAGTGCTCTTAATTAGAAATCCTGTAACTAATTTAATTAATCTTATAACATTGATTGTTCTTTGGTTTCTACTATTAATGAACCAGATAACATTAATTATGACAAAAAATATATGATAGTTCTTTCCTCTTGTTGATATCCAACAGCTCCAAAACTCAGTCACAAAATTTGAAATCCATACTTAGACATAAAAGCAGACAAAATTGTTTTTTAGTTGAATGACACAAGTATTTCTACTTTGAAACCGCACTCGCCTTGTGATCTCAGACTGCAGTTGTCTAATACCAAAACACATTTTAAACACGTAATGAGTAATGCAAATAAATAGTCTGACAATGATAACCCTTTGTTAAAGAGGAGAAAAATGCAGCACATAAAAATTGCATAAAACTCTCTATGTGCTACATGAACTGGCACAAAATTAAAAAAAAAAGCAGACCCTATAGAGGCAATGAAATATAGGTTGCATTGCTCATTGCCAGCATTAGGATATTATCTTGTCCACTTTCTTACACATAAAGGGTCTTTGCCCTAAACAAAGATCATCCCAGATTCCTTACACACCAGAGTCAGTCTTTTGTACCTTAGCTTTTGACTCAGGCTCATCCTGAACCTTTTTCATTTCCATCCCTTTAACCCAGGTGTAAGCAAAGGAGCCACCCAGGACCATCAAGTTACTTGTCCACCACAACAAACTCTTGATACTGGAGTTGTACGCGACAGCCAGGACAGTCTGTGCACAGGCTTTGGCCGTGCCTGACACATTATGCGTCAGCGGGCTTGTGTATTTAATCTGAAGGCCAGTGACGTAGCCAATGGCAAACCCAAAGATTCCTCCCGTGATCATCATACCCCAGAAATTCCAGTCGTCCATCCCGTTAAAACTGTAGACTTTTGGCGCCTCACCGAAGACAAAGATGAGCGGAATGAATAGGACACAGGCGTTGATGTTGTTGTAAAATGACAGCTTCCATATGCTTTCATCCACAACTGGCAGCACCTTTTTTGTGTAAATGGCATTTAGGGACACGCACATACTGGCAAGGACTCCATAGACAACTCCTAACCAGGACAGTGATCCTTCTGCCCCCTCCTGGTCGACACCCAGCCAGAACCCTCCTGTGTCAAAATAATAAACATCATTCAATCACTTCCATGCTATTTCAGGCCTTATGCTCCACAAAAGTCAGTCATAAAAACTTGGCACCAATCAAAATCAAAGACAATTACGATAATTAAGAACCTTCCCTAACCTCTCTGCAAGATAATGTATAATTAATTATTATTCAATTCATAATAATAAAATTTTGTTCTTAGCAGCTAGAATAAAAAAACATAAAACCCACAGCCGTCAAGTTATTAAGATTCTATACATAATTATATATAATAGCGGATGAGTGACAAAAAGTAATACAAGAAGAAATATACCTACCTAAAATCACCCCGCAGCACAGAAGCGCATATAAAGAAGTGGTTTGCTTGAGTATGACATAAGACAGGATTACATTAAAAACTGTACTGAGCGACCTTCCTACAGTGTAAAACGCAACTCCCAAATGTTTCAGGCACAGGTTATTGAAAGTAATCATGCCGATGAAGACGAATGACAGTGGTAAGACTTCTCTTGAGACTTTATGGTCAAACTTAAGGGAGGGGAAGTACACGACTCCGGGACACAGTTTCGACGTGAGGTGCATGCACCAGCAAAGACCCACGGTTACAAGGCACTGGAAAAATGTCACGAACAAGGGGGCGTTCAGTTCACGGATTTCTAGCAAATGGTTGTTTAAAAAGACCATGGTAATAGATATAAACCAATAGAGAGCTACAACAAAAGTTATTTTGATGGCTCTCACTAAAAAAGTCTCCGTCTCTCCATCTTGATCCACAGAATCAGAGCCTGCGAGAGCCATGCCGAGAATTTTCGACCGCTTCAGTTGTGTCCTGTTCATCGTGTTTTCAACAAAAACAAAGAAAAGGAAGCAGTTAGCATTGGAAACCCATTTATAGGCTATAAACAGATAAGTAACTGAGTTAGCTATCGAACTAGCTAGACACAGCTTCTCCACACACTGATGCCCGCCTCCTACAGGGTGCAGTTCCGGGATCTTAGACACGCCCCCAAACAGCAGGCTGCATTTTCTTAAAGGGACCTTGTCCAACGAGACCAACTGGAATTCATTTACCAAAATCGTATTAGCATTACTATGATCGAAATTTCGACTGAGCCTGATTAAATTTACATCTTACTATCATGGTGGGCTTACGGAACGCACCCTTGAACACGAGCCCCTAAAAATTATATATTTTTTATAATGTTACGCGCAAACAATATAAATACTTTCTTTCATACAAATTCATTCTAGGCGTAGTTAAAACACAAGCGAATGAATTAAAAAGTAGGAAAAACACAACCAATCACCCGGCTTCTCAATATTTCGCATAAATCTATTTATTAAACATATAAATCGCATATCATTATTTTAAACTTCTTACTTTATGGTAGTGTTCCAACGTCTGTCTTTAGATCAGGGAAGTAGGAAGCAAAATAATGTGATCTTCTGCTCCTCCTCCATATAAAAAATCAACCAATCAAATCTTCTCCCTTGACCCTAATTATTTAAAGAAACTGCGGAAAACTTTGAAAGGTACTGCTCATATACTGTACAGTCCATCCATTGTCCAGCTACTTATCCTGCAGGGAAATGGAGGGTCCTGTACAGACCGTGCGTACACAAACACACACAGGTTTATAATAATATCTTTGTGGGGACTCTCCATTCACTTCTATGGGGAAAACTCCAATCACATCATGACGACCTTAACCCCTGCCAAGCCCTAACCTTAATCATAAGTGACCAAACTAAATGAGACTATTGGCATTTTTAGTTTTTTGATTATATTCACAGACCTTTGTGGGGTCCCCACAATGTAAAACACACACACACTCACGCACACACACACAGACATGTTTGTATTCATATCTTTGTGGGGACCATTCATTCATTTCTATGGGCAAAACCCTAATGCCAACAACGACAACTTTAAACAATTTATGGGAGGCAAGATACTTCAGATGAGAAGTCAGTAATCATTAAGAACAATTTTTGAAATTGCTAAGATGATTGGCAGGCACCATTGTGCTATGTATGTGGGTGGATTAAATGCAGTTAGGAAAAGGTCAGATAAGGGGAAAATGAAAGTTGTTCCACAAAATAAGTTCTTCCTCATTAAGCAATTGCTGATGAAAAAGCAAAGAGATGTTGGACGAAGTTGGTTCCACCAATGTATCAACATCAAGATAATGTAGGATTCTCTGCCACTTTGGAAAATATGTAAAGCAAGATTTTTGACCCATTTGAAGGACAGCATGTGGAATGGCCAAAGAATACTTCCAAGCTACACTGTTCATTGATTGACTCAGCTAGTGGTGAGCTGATTGGTCATTGGTGAGTTCCTGAAGGTATAAATTTGACTGGAGTTGCTTATATTGTGTTTCTGAAAAACAATTTTTTGCCATGATAAAGCCTCCAGCCTAAAGACAAAAGGTGAAATTTATGCAAGACAATGCTCTGTCACATACTGGCAAAAAGACAGAAGAGTACTTCATGAAATTGGACTTCAAAAATGGCTATTTGATGGAGCAGCCAGCATCTTCTCCCAATTTGAATCCCAGTGAGACCTTATAGAGCATCATCAAGCAGCGATTGTATGCCTCTGGACAATAGCTTTCTTCAAATGATGAACTGTGGGGTGCTTATAAAAGAACTCTACTCACAGAAATTGCAGATCATCTTGGGGAAATCTATCCATGTATAAATAAGCTCTTTATCTAGGGGCATTGCTATAGAGGAATCAATGCAACACCCCTGTTATCTGTTCTGATTAAACATTGTTACAAATTCCTGTGTTTCTGTAATAACCACTTTCATGAAACTGTTGTTGTCACACATTTCATTGATATTACACAGGCTTGCATAATAGGGTGACACAGTGAAAAGTGAATTTTTTGGTAATCATAAATAGATCTCCAAATATTTCATAACATGTCCCATGATTTTGACTATTTATGTACTCATAAATAATGCAAATTTAGTGCAATTTTCATTAGAATCTACTCATTAATTTGTGAGATATAAGATAACTCAGTGGCATGGTGGTGCAGTGGTTAGCACTGTTGCCTCGCACCTCTGGGACCTGGGTTTGAGTCTCCGCCTGGGTCACATGTGTGTAGAGTTTGCATGTTCTCCCTGTGTAGTCGTGGGGTTTCCTCTGGGTACTCTGGTTTCCCCCCACAGTCCAAAGACATGCTGAGGCTAATTGGCATTGCTAAATTTCCCTTAGGTGTGCATGTGTGAGTGAATGTTGTGTGAGTGTGCCCTGCGATGGGCTGGCCCCCCCATCCTGGGTTGTTGCTTCCAGGATAGGCTCCAGAACCCCCATGACCCAGTAAGATAAGTGGGTTGCACAATGGATGGATGGATAAGATCATTTATGCTTTGAATAATAGCATGACACAGAGTGTATATCACTATGGTAAATGGGCAATTTAAATGTCCCAAGTTCTACAAATGAGTAGAATGGAATGCTCTTCGTTTGCTGTAGCTTTAAATAGCCTACATATATCTCTCCACTAGGTGGTAATATTACAAAGGACACAAGACCGGCAATGAGCCCATCCCTCACCCCACCCTCCCAGAGCTCAAATCAAATCAGAGTTTAAGTAGCACAAGATATCTGGGTGCTAACCAGCTAGCTCCTGTCTATTTTGCAATAAAAGTACTGAAATATTAAAACGAATAACTGTATTGTCACAGAATGCACCTCAATGTGCCCCCTAATGAAATGATGCCCTAGGCGATCGCTTATGTTGCCTACAGGGTGGGCCAGCCCTACCCTGGATCACAGGGCACACACTACTTGCATGTTTTTGAACTGCAAATCCCATAAACACAGTACCTGGGTAGAGATCCAATCTGCCGGTAGGTAGGGATGAAGCCTCAGACATGCAAGGATGCGTAGAAAGCAGATATTAAAAAACAACATCTATTTTTAACAAAGCAAATAGCTCACCAGCTAAGATGCAGTGCTGTTATTCTTGCTTAAAACTATTCGTGTGAAAAGAAGCAGAACTACCAGATATGAAGAATTATGGCAATCGATAATGTGTATGTCTGATATCTCATTTATGAAATATATTCTCATAGTCACAGCTTTTAGACCAGAGAATTATCTGGCTCATGTGCCAGAAAATTAGGGCCAGGGAGTAAGAAAAGAAGCAGCAATCTCACCACCGGCCTTGGACATGGAGACTGCTTTCTCAGAATTTATTGATAATATTTGATAGTGAGAAATGAGGCATCTGTAGAGCAAGCAGCGCCCAATTATTGGATGTTGCTGTGCAGAAGTTTGGATGTGACCAATGAACTTGTGCTTTCTATGACCTTTGAAGAACTGCATAAGCTGTGTATTCTTCAAGATACAACCAAAGTATGCCCTCAAAAAAAGAGGTAATTTCTCCAAACTCTCTAATGCCTTTTTAATCAACTAGATACCTATTGCAATGCTCTCGATTTTTCAAAACTCTAAAATTAGAAGGAAAAAAGGAACACCATTTCGAAAAAGTGGCATATCACAGAAAGTGGTCTAGTGAGTATTGGCATATATTGTTGTGTAAAGCAGTGGCAGAGAATGGAAATGTCTATGCACCAAATCCATTCAAACTATTGACTAAAATAATTTATCTTCATCTTCTACCATTCAAAGACATTTCATTGTTGTTTTTTGCATCAGCACAAACAGCATGCTTTAGCAAGACAAGCTTTTCATCGTTTCCTAAACCTGTGCCAGTATGAGACTCACTTAAGGGTTCTCAGCTAGTACGCTAAAGCGCCTCACCTCATACGCAGTTAAATGAGCTTGCTTGAGCAGAAGTGTTGTGCTGACTGGTTATGGAACGTGATCTGATTCCCCCATCACCCATCTCCACACTCTACACTTCTGACCAGTAGCATGAAATTTGAATATATCATGTTTATTGCTAAGGAAAGTTCAGATTCAATAGTGGTCGTGTTGGTCAGTAAACCTAACCCTAATGCACATATGTCACACTCAAGGCCTGCAGGTCACATCTTTACAGCCCACAATTCTGACATTCTGATTAAGATGGCCAGGGAATAGGGGTGTGACAGTACACAAAATTCATAGTTCAGTACAAACCTCAGGTTTGGGTTAATGGTTACAGTAGGTGCAATTTCAGTACAGCAAAACAAACACAATCAGAAGCAACTATAAACCAAAGGCAATGTGTCTCAAATCAACGTTTCTATATAACAAAAACTGAGGGATGAATTCAGAAAACACAACCATTCAGAAAACACTACAACATTATCTAAAACCAGAACAGGTAGATACAGTACTTATTAAATCACACGGCTTTGTCACTGATTGGATGCTAAGTATATCTATCATAACAAACTCTGAAATTGTAATCTAACGGTAAGTGCATAACTTTTCCAGTTTCAGCTAATGTTGCCATGTGTTCTGAATTGTCATTGTGTTTTCTTATTTTTTTCGTTTGTTTTGCACTTTGGGGCTTCTGTAAGCAACATATCTGAGTTTAGTTAATCAGGAGCCAGCAGACATACTTGGTCTTATCAATTACTCTGTCTTCAGGGTTGGTGTAATTTATTGGGAAACCAAAATGTTCCCAAACTGCTGATTATGACTAACTTTAACCAGCATTGGGGTGATCAGATAATCCATGTCAGGGAGGACACTTTGAGCTAAAACAAGATTTATAATCTGGTTGTTTTGATTTCTTGGGACGAAACTCAGCCCATTTCTCAGAAGGATCCAGAGGACAATGTCAGGAAAAAAAATTGGTGAATAATAGTTCATGAAGTCAGTGGACACATTTGGTTTAATTCACTATGTTCGGAGAGGTTTTGGTGTATCATTGTTTAGTTTTATTTACAAAATGAATTTCAGGAATAATGTTTCCTGTAAAGTTAACATTTGTAACTGTTACTTCCATAAAGTAATGATTTCAACCAAATAACTGCAGAATTTGGGTCATGCTGCTATTAATTAAATAAAC